CCCGTAATTTTAAAAATAGAGAAGACATAAATTCATTTTTTGATGTAACAGTAGGATTGGATGAAGTAATGGTTTGGATGGGGAATGAAGACGGATGAAAACCATAGTTGGAGAAGAAAGGAGTCATTTTCGTACTAGAATGAATGGTATTATTGTAAGAAAATTAGGCCATAGGTAACCATGTGGTCCAGTCATCTTGGAGGTATGAACAATAACATCGAAGATATTGTTCCAAACATTGGTTAACCCTTTCTGTTTGCCCATTAGTTTGGGGATGATAAGCGGAAGAGAGTTTGCGTTGAATTTGAAGGGAGAGACACATCTCTTTCCAGAATTTGGAGGTAAATTGTGTCCCCTATCAGAAATAATTTCTTCAGGAAGACCATGAAGTTTCACAATATTGTCAATAAAGACCTTAGACAATTCTACAGAGGAGGGTAATTTTTTTAAAGAAATGAAATGGGACATTTTTGTGAAGCGATCCACAACGACAAGAATAGTGGTGAAATGTTGAGAAGGTGGAAGATCAACGATAAAATCCATAGAAATGGATTGCCAAGGGTTTTCTGGAATAGGTAAGTTAAGTAGTAATCCAAAAGGTTGATTATGTTCTGGTTTAGACCTTTGACAGATAGGACATGTTTTGACATATAATGCAATGGTTCTATCCTGGCGAGGCCACCAATAATATCGTGAAGTTAGTTCAAGTGTTTTCTTTATTCCAGGATGTCCAGCTAGGGGGGAATCATGAACCATCTTAAGTAATTTATTCCTAAGAATGGGAGGAATATAAATTCTATTTTTAAAATAAAATAGACCATCCTTTTTTGTTAGTATAGGTGTTTTGGGAAGTTCAAGATCCTTCTGATTCAAATTCTTTATGTCATCATGAAGAGAAGAGAGGATTCCTATTATTTTGGTAGAAGGATAATCATCAGTAGTAGTTTTAGAAGGAATTCGAGAAAGAGCGTCAGCCTTTTTATTTCTATTTCCAGGTCTGTATATTAATTGGAAGTTAAATCGGTTAAAGAATAGGTTCCATCTAACTTGTCTAGCTGTAAGGGTTTTGTTAGTATAGAGATATTCAAGATTTTTATGGTCAGTATAAACTATTATAGGTTGTTTTGTATCTTCCAGAAGATGACGCCAATTTTCGAAGGCAGCTTTAACACTTAATAATTCTTTTTCACCAATAGGATAATTTTTTTCAGCAGAGCTCAAGGATCTTGAAAAAAAGGCAACTGGATGAAGTGGATCTTGTGGAGTCTTTTGTTGAGAAAGAACTGCTCCGATGGCTGCATCTGATGCATCAACTTCAAGAACATATAGGAATGTTGGATTAGGTAGTTGTAGAATAGGTGCAGTTGTAAATCTTTTTTTTAATTCGTCGAAGGCTGTTTGAGCATCTTTATTCCAATTAAAAGGACGTTTACTACTGTTGAGGAGGTTAAGAGGATGTGATACATCCGAATAGTTTCTAATAAATTTTCTATAGAAGTTTGCAAATCCAAGAAAACGTTGTAATTCTTTTGTAGTAGTAGGAGCAGGCCAATCAATAATACATTTGATTTTGGAATTATCCATCTTCAAAGAATGAGGTGAAATAATGTATCCTAGAAAAGAGAATTCAGTAACCTCAAAAAGGCATTTTTCTGGTTTAGCGTATAATTTATGAGTTCTCAGTCTAGATAGAACCCATCTAACATGTTTCCTATGTTCATCCAAATTGTTAGAATATATTAAGATATCATCTAAGTAGATAATAACACATACATCCAGAAGATCTCTAAAGATATCATTGATAAAATGTTGAAATGTTGCAGGGGCATTACAGAGCCCGAAAGGCATCACTAGATATTCGTAGAGACCATATCTTGTCCGGAAGGCGGTTTTCCATTCATCATCCTGTTTTATTCTAATGAGGTTATATGCGCCTCGAAGGTCGAGTTTAGTGAATATAGTTGCAGTTCTTAACCTTTCAATTAATTCATTTATTAGTGGAAGAGGATAACGATTTTTAATAGTTATTTTATTTAAGGCTCTGTAATCTATAATAGGACGGATGGTTTGGTCTTTATTCTTCACAAAGAAAATACTAGAAGCAGCTGGGGAGGTCGAGGGTCTGATGAACCCTTTGCGTAAATTTTCATTAAGATATTCTTTTAAAATTTCTAACTCCTTTTCAGAGAGTGGATAAATATGACCATAAGGAATAGGAGCTCCGGGTATGAGATCTATTGGGCAATCATATACCCGATGAGGAGGAAGTGTTTCCGCTTCTTTTTTACAAAAGACATCTGCAAAATCGGAGTAGAATGGAGGTATAACTGGTTCTACAGTAGTTTGGAGAATAGGAATGTGTTGTAAGCACGTTTTTTTACAGAAATCAGAAGCAAAGGAGATGGAGAAGGGAGACCACTTAATTAAAGGATCATGGTTTTTTAACCAATTAATTCCTAGAATGACGGGATAAAGTGGAGATTTAATAATATCAAATGTAATGAATTCGAAATGTACGTTGTTGGTAATCATTCTTAGAGGGATTGTTTCATCTTTGATGGGTCCTGAGGATATAAATGAACCGTCAATAACTCTGATTGGAATAAAATTGGTTTTTTGAACACAAGGAATTTTATTTTTTGAAACAAAAGAAAAATCAAGAAAAGTTCCATTAGCACCAGAATCAATGATGGCCTCAGTCACGATTCTTTTTGTATCCCACTGTAATATGAGAGATATAGAAAAATAAGTAGATGCTTTTCTTTTTTGAAAAACGTTCAATATAGAGGTAGATGAATGAAGCTTACCACCTTTTGAATGTTTCAGTAGAGGACATTCGGAAATTAGATGTTCATTCGAAGCACAATACATACATAAGTTTAGTTGTCTCCTTCTTATTCTTTCTTCAGAAGTAAGAGGACTTTTTATTATACCTACTTCCATAGGTTCAGTTTGTGGAGGAATTTTTTCAGGTAGTTTTAGAGTAGTGAAAGGTTTTCTCCAGGTAGAATTAGTAAGAACCCTTTCAGCTTTTCTTTCTCTTAGACGTCTATCAATACTGATAGACAGTTGAATCAATGCATTTAAGGTAGGAGGAAGTTCTGTACGAGAGAGTTCATCTTTCACAGCTTCAGATAATCCGAGACGGAATTGATTGCGTAAAGTAATGTCATTGGGTTTCTGTAGCCCATCTTTTGAATTCTGCAATATAATCTTCAACAGGTCTATTCTTTTGGTGTAATGTTCTGATGGTTAAATCAGCAGTAGTTTGTTTAAAAGGATCTTCATATAATAAAGACATAGCTTCAAAGAACTCATCCAATGAATCCAATATGGGATCATCATTTTCCAAAAAGGAATGGGCCCATGCCATAGGTTCACCTCTTAAAAAAGAGATCACTGAACAGACTTTGGATCTTTCGGTGGGATAAGATCTAGGTTTTAAAGCAATTAGTAGTTTGCAAGAATTCAAAAACTCTCTGTACTTTGTTCTATCTCCATGAAATTTTTCTGGATTACAGACAGCAGGATCACCAGCCGATTGAAGAGCGGCATGAGGAAGATGACCTTGAATGTCTCTAACATAAGTTAATATTCTCTCATTTGTAATTTGCAGTTCCTGTAACCCTTGAGCAATCGTATCCACTCTATTGGTTAGGGCAGAAACTTGAGAGTTAATATCTGCTGGTTCCATTGAAGTGGCTGAATTATTCTGTAATACTTATTTTGTAATATTTCTTTAATTGGAACTCAACTGCAGCATTTCTTGGTTGCAACAACAATAAGGTTCACCTCCTTTTATATTGGTATGAAACTATGGTCACTGTACCTTTAAATATCCATGTAGGTAAAATTAGGCTTTGTAGCAATCCCTTATGAGTAAGAGGAATAATTAGACAAAGTGACACTTTAGTGAGTTTTAGATACTGTGTAATATAAATAATAGTAATTGACTTGTTTGGTAAAAGTATTACTTAACTTAAAGGCAGTTCTGGCACTGGAAGGGTTAATTCACCCAATGAAGGAGAAATTAGAAGTCCGTTTCAACAAGCTGAGAACTAGGAGTGGAGAGTGGGGAAGTCCGTTTTAACAAGCCGAGGTCTGGGAGTGGAGAAGGTAGAATTCAGAGTTACAAGCCGAGGTCTAGGAGTGGAGAAGGTAGAAATCCGTTTACAAGCCGAGGTCGAGAAGTGGAGCAGGTAGGATCAGAAGTAGAGCAGCTGATCTTCATGCAGCACCTGTGCGAATAATTCAGCCCTTGAATCTGGCGCGGTCCTCCTAAGTATCGTGGAGGGACCGCGTCAGAGAAAGGGGCGGGGCTGAGCGCCGTGAACCCGGAAGTGGGTTCCGGCGATAAATTACATGCCATGCTATACCTGACACTACTGATC